ATTGTGAAAGAATATTCTTTTGAATCAAAAAGATTTTTTTAATGTGGAAACCATTCTTGGCTGGAGAGCTGTACAAAAGCAGGTGGCTCATGGGCCCTAAGTAGCCAACCCCTGTTCTGAACCACAGCTTAACCCAAGGGACTGTTGCCAGCCAGGATCTGGTATATTTTGTAAGCACTATTGGTCAACTAGGTGCCCTCCTGAGAGAGACCCCTCTGGAGGATCTGGGAAACAGAACCCCCACGTGCCCAGAATACTGAGAATGTAGCCCAAATTCACTGCCCAGAGGGAAAGGGACAGGAGTGATGTGGAGCTCAGATTAGCCGAGAGAAAGCCTGCAATTGCTTGAGAGAAAAGGTAGAAACAAAGGCTGTAGAGGCTTTTCATACCCTGCATTAAAGTTAAAATCTAATTTAGATGAAAATGGATGCATTGAAATTAACTGTGCGTGCAAGGCTTTCGTTGTTAAGCTGTGTACCCTGTAACGATAGCTTTACCAAATTTATTCCCTTGGCTTGAAAATAAAGATGCTTTTTGAAATTTGATTTTGTTGTTTTACAGATTGTTTTAGCTTTGTGAATTGTGCAAACTCCATTTCTGATCTGCCTCAAACAAAAACAGAGCATTAAAGTGTTTAAGATTCAATCAAGGGCTCGCCGTTTGTGGTACAATATTAAAATAACAGAAAAATCAATTCAATTTTTATTTGGAACATGATTTGTCACAAATAGCATTCTAATAGATAACACTGATTATATGGTAGCAAATGTGATTTATATATACCAAGCTCTACGCCTTTGTCAGAGTCATCATTAAGGAATTTGACACGTATGCGGGAGAACAATAAATGTCAACTGAAACACATACCAGTTAGATACAAATGGGATGCTAAAATGAGTGATGCTGGCACATGCTATACTTATAAGTAATAATATGCAGTCTAAAGTAGCTTGCGTTTTCAAACAAGAACTCTTTTTATGCTGTCATTTAAAATATCTCATATTCCTGAAGGTCAGGCATAAATGGCACTATTTGCATTAAAAGCTGGTAAAAGAAAAAGTAATTTGTTGTTCATTTAACATAACATTTTACGAGATAGCTTTGTAAAGTATTCGTATTTTTTTTTTCCCTACGGAGGCTGAGAAGACATGGTGAAGAGGCTGATTCTTAATGGAGAGCTTTTTATCGCATCTTTGTTACTGTTAACATCCTGATTCAGTGAGATCTTTGTGGAATTATGTGATTTGTGCTTGGGCAGGTAAATGCTAAGAAATAAAGCTGTTTACACAAACGTGGTTTTGGCTGGCTCCAGCAAGATGCCGTCCAAGTCCTGGGTTTGGTCCTTGTCAGTAGTGCCACGGGCAAAGGGATGACAGCAGGACACTGAGGGCGAGGGGCAAGATTGTCAGAGAAAACATCTCTCTCTCTTGCTCCTTTTTCTCTTAAATTTGAATAAAAAAATTAAAACCACCAAAAAATAACATTGACAAATACCACTAGAGCCACCACCTGGAATTAGCAAAGATGAATCTTTAGTGGTAGTTGCTTCAAATCCTTTTGCAATGAAAAATAAATACGACACCACTGATAAAGGAGGATTTTATTTTATTTCATTTTATTTTATTTTATTTTATTTTATTTTATTTTATTTTATTTTATTAAAGTATAGTCAGTTACAATGTGCCAATTTCTGGTGTACAGAAGAACGTCCCAGTCATGCATATACATACATGTGTTCATTTTCATATTCTTTTTCGTTAAAGGTTACTACACGATATTGACTATAGTTTCCTTTGCTATAGAGAAGAATTCATTTTTTATCTATCTTTATATATAGTAAAGGAAGATTTTAAATGTCCTTGTTTTGATATTTTGTACCACATCTGCAGTGAGTAGCAGTATTTTGTGAGCACAGATGTACATAAATGATAATTTCTGTATCTTAATGGTATCTTCCTGACACATCCTTTTCTCCTCAACAGGACATTTCGGGGAACAACTCATGTTGATATATATGGATGATAGCTCATTCTTTGTCCTTGTTGAAGTTGTAATTTGGGTAATTGATCAGAGTGAATTTTATTTGTATTCCCCCAATTACTAGTGAAGACGAATCTCAAACATTTATTTATTTTTATTTTATTTTATTTTTTAAATGAATTTTCGGGGGGGCTGGTGGATAATTAGGTTTTTTTTAAAATTTATTTTTAGTGGGTGTACTGGGGATTGAACCCAGAACCTTGTGCATGCTAAGCATGCACTCTGCCACTTGAGCTATACCCTCCCCCCAAATCTCAGACATTTATGATTCAGGTTTCTTTGTGCGTCTCTTTGCTCATGTCTCTTTGTCCACTTTTCTACTGGGCTGTCCTTTTCTTCATGTACTCTGAATACTAATCCTTTGTTGCGTCCAGTTCAAATGCCTTCTCTGAGGCTGAGCTTGTCTTCAGTCCTTGTCTTTGGGGTCTCTGTTATCCTTAAAGAATAACTCAGGCCTGCCTGCCCTTCTTGCTTCATTCATTGGCTGTTTATCAAGTGCTGGGCCCTGTTCTAAGTGTTGTGCATGATTTATCTTATTTAATCATCAAAACCACCCTGTGCAGGAGGGCTACTGTTATTCCAAGGAAGTGTCAAGGCTGGGGAGTGAAGAAGCCTGCACAGGTGGTACAGGTAGGGAGAGAGCTGGGACCCGAGGCGAGCTCCGCCTTCCTGCAGAGCTGGGCGTGTAAGCCCTGTATCACGCTCAGAGAACTAGCAAGAGGAAGGATCAGAACGTGTCATAAACCCTTAGAAGGAAACAAACATGGCAGTTCTCAGTGCTGGTTATCCATCTCCTGGGAGTTTTCAAAAGTGCTGGTGCTGGGCCCCAACTCAGAAACTCTGGGTGGTCTCAGGTGTGGTCTGGACGTAGGGTTTCTTTTAAATCTCCCCAGTTCAGCCAAGGCTGAGCACCTCTCCTCCATAATTTGTAGTTTTATTGAGATCTAGGAAGTCCAGAAGGTCTCAGACAGAAACCTATTTCACTGTACCAGCCAAGATCTTAAATGCTGTATAGGGCTTCAAGAAAAGATTTTTAGAAAATACAAGGGAAAAAGGAGAATGAAAGAAAAACTGCATGATACGGAGCTCGAACACTTCAGTTCTGCTGTGAATTAGAGGCATCTTTGTAAGGGGGAGGGCGGCTCCTTCTGCCCTTATTCTCGGAATCTCAGGGGGTGAATCACCTGCTGTTCTCTTCAAGCACCAGCCCCTGCTGCCACATCATTCACAGAATTGCTAAGTGAAGCCATTTCTGGATTCTCAGAATTGAGCAGTGGATCCTCCCACTCTGTCCAACAGGTGTGCCTGACACCACCATCCCCACACCTTCTACCCGGCACCAGCTATTTACTCACTGGGGCCCCAGGAACAAGTGAGCAGGTCAGCGGGGGGCTACTAGGAGGCTGTGCGTGGGCAGGAGGCCAGGCTGGAAGGGCCGTAGTCTGCACACGCCCCAGCAGTTCCGCTTCCGGTGGTACCCAGCCCCCCAAGGTCTGGGCTCAGACTCCACCTGCTCATTGAAAGAAGACCATGCAGGCTGAGGCCCTATCCAGCTCGGGCAGGAAAGCCAGAAACCTTGCCCTGACCAGCTGTGAGTTAAGGCAGATAGAGCCCTCGGGGTAGCCCCCGGGTTACGGCACCTGTAAAACGTTCTGTGGATGAGCTGAGCAACCCCACGCCCCTCCACCTGCCCGCCGGGCATAGGCCCTGTGAGTGGCTGCCCCAGGTTGACCGACTGCCTTTCTGTTTCCTCCCAGGCAGAGGGATAAATGGGAACATTATCTGAATATGACAGAATATTCCATTTTCTTAATATTAAAGAGCTTTTAAAGTAAAAATTATGTCAAAAAGATGCCTAAAATGGACACACAATTGGACAGCTCACAGAGAAAGAAATACAAAGGGCCATTAAACACTGAAAAGGTGTTCACTCTCATAATAAGACAAACTCAAATTATAACGTAAGGAAAAGCACTTTAACACGCCAAATTGACCAAAGGTCGGACAATTCACCATGTTGGTGAGGGTCCGAACCTCTCTCATGTTAGAACAAATCATAGAATGCTGTGAATAGTTGACTTTTTTGGCCCACAAAAGTGGTAGTTTCCCACTGTGTTGTTGGTCGGAGTGTACACTGGAGTGTAGTTTGGCAATGCTGATCAAAATAAGCAGCCTAAACGCTTCTGGGACAAATCTGTATCTTGTTAGAATATCATCAAAGGATGGTAGTTGCGTGAATATCCATAATGGCAAATTGTACATGTCCGTCGGCAGGGAGGATCGCGCCACACGCGTCCCTCAGCAGAATCTGTGAAGCCCCACAAAGAACGAAGAAGCCCTTTCTGGACCATTAGTGAATAATATTCACTTTATTGTTAGTGAGGACGGTGTGTATTGTGTGCTACCATTTGTCTGGAAAAAAAGGTGGGTGTGGCTGGGGTGTGTGAGACAGGTACCTGAATATTTATATGTAGAATATTTCTGGGAAAAACTCAAGTTGTCTCTGGGAAGAGGAAACGAGAGACCTGAGGGCAAGGCTAGAAGGCCCGGATCTCGAGTAAGAGCTCCTGCAGCATTAGCATTTCGGGCCATGTGCATGTGTGAGCTTTTTTTTTTTTAAAGCCCTGCATCCTCCAAGGCACAGGCACACACTCTCTCGGGGTCGTTCATGCCTCAGGCTGCTCTTACGTGGGGCCTGCTCCCCTTCCTAGGATGCTAAAAGCTGAGTGGGCAACACGTGGAAGCAACGATGACCTTTTCAAATAAGACAGAATTTCACTGTCTAAGGATCTAAAGTACGTTAGAACAGGCTACACTAGGTGCCCTGAAAGAGAGAGATGAGGGCAGAGGTGGGTCAGTGAGATGTTTTAGGCATTATCTGCAGGCAAGCTGGCTGCACACAAAAATCATTTCTGAAATGAGACCCCAGATCACAGAGCATTGCAAACTACACCTCAGAGTCAAACTGAGGGCATTAAAAAGTTTATTAATGCAAAGACAAAGAGGGTACTATTTTTAACAAGGGTAGAGAGTTTGTAAAACATCTTCTTGCACTGTGTTGTTGCTGCAAAAATTATACCTGTGGAGGAAAAATGTTTTCAGCATGAGATGCCTTCTATTGGGAAATGTGACCTCAGATGAATAACCAGCATGTGGTCACCCCCCTGGAATTCAGATCCCTTTGAAAAACTCTGTTCCACCAGGCAGAGTCCAAGTGATTCTCACTAAGCAAACCCACTCGGAAAGCATCCTCCCCTCCTGTGGGCTTTTAATGAGCTGACAGTGAATCAGCTGTGTCACATCAAGGATTTTCTTTTTCCCCCCAAAACACAGGGAGTGTCCCTCCAGTGGGCCTGCAGCTTTGGGCTCAGCCATGAGTTCTAGGAGGCACCCAGCCTGCTTGGAGGGTTCTTCATACATTGCTTCTGGGAATGTAAAATGTGGCAGCCACTTTGGAAAACAGTCTGGCAGTTCCTCCAAAGGTTAGAATAGAGTTATCATATGACCCAGAAATTCTGCTCCTAGGTATCTACCCAAGAGAAAATGAAGACATATGTCCACACAAAAACTTGTATACAAATGGTCACAGCAGCATTATTCCTAATAGCCCCAAAGTGAAAACAACCCAAATGTCCATCAACTGATAAGTGGAAAAGTGGTATATCTATATTATATAATAAATATAACACACTATATAATATATAAATATAATATAAAATGAAATATTTATATATTATAATATGTAAATATAATATAAAGTAGATAAACAAAATGCACTATATCTGTATAATAGAATATTAGTAGGCAACGAAAAGGAATGAATACTGATGCATGTTACAATAGTGATGAGCCTTGGAAAAGTAATGCTGAGTGAAAGAAGCCAGTCACAGAGGACAACATACTGTATGATTCCATATGTATGAAATATCCAAAATAGGAAAATCTATAGAGACAGAAAGTAGGTTAGGGGTTACCTAGGGCTGAGAAAAGGGATGGGGGATTAACGGGTGATGGCTAATGGGTTTCTTTCTGGGGTGATGAAAATGTTCCAAAATTGATTGTGGTGATGATTGTGCAACTCTGTGAATACACAGAAGTCACTGAATTGTGTATTTTAAAGGGGTGAATTGTGCGGTATGGGAATAATATCTCAATGAAGATGTCAAAAAAAAAAAAAACATTGTGATGGGTTGTCTCTCCTGAGGGTGTGAGGTCCGGTCAGGTTGGGACAACCACTCTGCCATAAGACACAGGACACTTCTGGTCTTCTCCTTCCCATGAGGTGTCTTTGGTTAAAGGAGGACAGCTGACCAAGCCAACTTTCCCTCAGGGCTCAATGTCAGAAAGTAGCCCCCTGACGAGGGAGCCCTCATGTGGGTGGGGACCTTGGTGTTTGCTATGTGTACTGTGTACTAGACTTGAAGAACAGTAACTCCACTCCCACCCCCTGAAGACTGTAAATTCCAGACAGGTCCACAGGGCATCCCACCACCAGGCTTTATGGACACGTCAGCTGCACGTCTGGCTGTGTGAGCAGGCTGGACACAGCGGAAAGAGGGTTGGATTGTATGTCAGAAGACCTGGGTCCAAGTCCTTGTTGTGCCTAAATGCGTGTGCCCTGCTCTTGAGGATACAAAGCAATGGCACAGCCATGGTGATATCTGATTTTTCCAACAGCACGCTGAAGAAATGGAAACATTACCATTTACAACCAGCACAGTTAAGTCATGCAGCTGAGCAAGGGCTTGGGGTGTGTTTCTGAAAATGTTTTGAGGTCCAATATTCTTCCCTCTGGCTTCCCTGTGTGGCCTTAGACAAGTTACTTGACTCTCCAAATGTCACTTTCCTCATCTTAACATGAGAGCCATTGAAAGGTGATATCTGTTTCCTTCAGACCCTAATACCCCATTATTTTCTGATGCTTCTCCTTTAAGGTGGCCTCCTTTCTTTCCGTATTTTAAACAGTCACATCCTCTCCCAGTTCCTACCAAGTAAGATTCTGCTCCCTCAGAATAAGAAGCACTTGCCACTATAAACTAGATCCCAATATATTCATGTATACATGTGCCAAATAAAACAACTTACATTAATAATTGCACCCCAGTTGAAATTATCTCAGAGATCGCCTACAAGTCCTGCCCAGGTGTTTTCTTTATTGTTTAAGATGAAAGTCTCCTATGCTCCTATTTCTCAAATCTATGCCTTACCACTGACAAGCTGAATTTGGCTTAAGGAAAATGATTGATTTTTCAAAGTAAATTAGATGGACAGATTGAGAGCTGAGATAAAGAGTTAGGTAGATGAATAGATGGATGGCTGGATGACCAGAAGGATAAGAAGACAGATGACTGGATATTGTCTAGATGGGTAAGTGGACGGACAGAATGGGCTGGATGAATGGAAGATGGTTAGGTGGGTGACTGGATGGATGGATGTGTGAATAGATTGATAGCTAAATATAGAAAATAAAACTTAGATGGAATAAGAGATACATACTCAGTCCTATCTTCACCACTTTGCACTGTGATTTGAGAGGCTCCCAGTTTGGGCTGGAAGAGATTTATTGCATTGTTGTTCCAGAGGAATTTGACCTTCTGGATTTTTCCAACATTGAGGTCCACATCAATGTCATGCATATGACTTGTATTTGGTTGGAGCGATCCTCTGAAAATGTAGACATAGAATGTTAAATAAGCTGGATGTATGAATACACAGGATGATAGCAATCTCTTGTTTCTCCAAACAACAGCTGCCATTTCTGCTTTTCTGCAAATAGCTGTATGATGTCATTCATATCCACAAATGTATTTGTGAAGAACACACCTTTAAAAAATATTGGACTCTAGCTTTCCACGTTTTATTTTGTCTCTAGAGGGAAGGCAAATATTTGGAGTGGCATATTCATCCTATTAGTTCACTACAGGACTAATTAATGCAACGTATTATGTTCAAAGATACAGAGGCATCTGTTAGGCCATCACTTGTAGCACATAGGAAGTTGTCGGAGAACTTTAACGTAATATGAAAATTATTGTGTCAAAGTTAGTGCAAAAACCAGAATCTAATTTTACAGCACAGTTCTGCATTCATGAAACACACGTTTACCAAGCATCTCACGAGCCCAGCAAAAGCAGGTGCTGAGGGAGCCACAGCAATGAGAAGCTGGCCTCAGGCTTCACGTGTGTAGGGGATGGAGTGTGTGTGTCGGAGGGGAGGGAGTGGCCATGTCAATGTGCTTTGCCTAAGGAGGATTTGATAAATTCATAAAACCTACGTCAGGAAACACCGATTGACATCTAAAAGGAGTTAGCCCTTAAGTAGCGAGCCCCCTCTCTGGGCCTCGCTCTTCTCATATGTAAAATGGGGGTCATTGAACTAGACGCTAAGACCTCCTTCCAGCTTTGACACTCTAGGATTCAGTGGTTTTGTATAATAGATGGCTAGATTTATAAAGAAGCTTATACCCAACCTTTTACAAAAAGTCTATTCTGGAAAGTGTGGTCATTTCACTTTGCTATCAAACTTACTTGAAAATTTCATATTGTTTTGAGTTTCCGTTGCTTCCATACAAAGCAACCCTGATGTACCCAGTCACTTTCTTTTTTCCAGCCAGTGTGATGGACACCCTATATCTCCAACCTGTTCAAAGAAACACAATCATTCAATTTACTCATCTTGTTGGAAAAAAAAAAAAGGCCCCAGGGAGGCAATCTTGTTCAAGTTCTGAATCCTCCGTGAATGAGAGGTATGGGGGAATGCAAGTAATGATTTCCTTCGGTAAAGTTTGGGGTTCCGGGAGTCCAGATTCTAGGTTGGGGTGAGGGACTCAGAGCAGAAGTAAATATTACAGTTTAGCAAAACCTCTTGTCAATACAGCAATGCATGTGCCCTGATGGATGAAGGGCAGCCGGTTACCATGCCTGTGTACCCTCAGTACACATCACTGGCCATCACCAGAAAAGCCACAGGGAGAAGGAGATGTTTGTGTCTCCAACATTTGGATAAATCACCTACTGCTCTTTTAGGTTTTTGCCATTTTCACATCCAAAAGACATATTCTCAAAAGAAAAACAACCCAGATAAATTTTTTAAAAACACCCTTCATTAGCACCCCGATCACTGGCCCTCCATCCCAGGTCTTTCCCTGAGGCAACCGGTTTGGCCTCTATATTTAATCGAGCCCAGTGGTTCTGAGTCAGGGGGCGATTTTGCCTCCCTGCGGACATTGGGCAGTGTCTGGAGGTATTTTTGGTTGTCCCCCGGGGGGTCGAATTCGGATGGGGTTGGGGAGCTACCAGCATCGAGTAGGTAGAAACCAGGAATCTGTTAAACATCCCACAGCGTGCAGGAAAACCATCATAGCAGCAAATCATCCAGCCCCAAATGTCAGCAGTGTGAGGCTGAGCGATACTGGTCCAGAGCTTTCTCTGAGCTTTCATGTCCGTATCTAAAAGATTATAGGCTTTTCCTCCGTTTAAAAAATAGTATGAGCTGTTATTCTCTCTTTCCCTCCACCCATCCCCACCCAGGGCTGATTCACTGCCCTTCTCGGAACTGCACTGTGTTCCAGAAGGTCCCCACCCCAATCCCACCCAGGATCCTTGTTGCTGGCTTTAGCTGGATTTAGCCAACGAGAGGCTCACACAGGAGGTGGGAGCGCAGGAGGGGAGGGGTGAGGGTATTTGCTCCCTTGCTCTAGTACCAGGAGTCTGGCAGCTACCCCTCCCTCCCTCTGTGATGGTGCTCTGTTCCAGCAGCCCCCAGCCACAGCAAGATTCCGGGTGCCTCAGCATCCCTTGTGAGTTCCTGTAACCCGTCCACACCTCTAAAAGGAGGTCCTCCAGTAAAGTCTTTTTACTCGAACCACTGGATGAGTTCTGTCTCCTGTTGGGACCCTGATTGACACAGGATGTTCTGCAGGCTGTTTTATCACTTGCCTTTTCACTCAGTATACCTTAGAGGTTTTCTCCTCCTTCTCCATGGTTATATACAGTATTTGGTTGTTTAGTAATTGCTGGGCATCTAGGTTCCTCCCCCGAGTCTTCTGGTATTAAAAGCAATGGCGCAGTGGGGCCCCTTGCGCAGCCCTCCTGCTCGTGCACACATGCGACGGTTTTCCTAAGTTACGTTCTGAGCAGCGGAATGACTGGGTTAAAGGAATATGCCTAGAAGACTTTATAGATACTGCCAAACTGTTCTCTTTAGTGATAAATATTGTGAGGATGACATGAAATGACTGTATGTGAAGGGTTTTGTGAAGCGCTATATACATTTTTTTTTATTTAAAACTCCCTTGAAAATGATTGCTTTTCTATTTGGCTACCATGTGATATTACTTTTAACAAATGAATCTTGATCATTTGACTATCTTGTACCTTTCACAATAGAAGGTGGGCAAAATAACAAAAACACAGTGTGAGTGTGTGTGTGTGTGTAAGGGGACTAGCAGGATAAATAATTAGAGGGGTGACTTGTTGATTTACTGTGACTTTGCCTCACATTGCCCTCTTCTGTTAATGGATGCATCCTTCCTGCCACATGGGTGGGTGGATATGTGACCCAGCCTGGGCCAATCACTGTATTTTATTCCACTGATCAGGATTATTGGTTAAAGGGATGAATTTGAGACCCAAGACAAATGCCATTCTACTGCTGTTCCGTTATAGCTTAAACTGATTGGAGTTGAGTTTCTGTCAGTTGCTACCAAGGGTCCTAATAAGGCTGATACACTTTAAAAATTTGCAAGAAGTTTTAAATGAGGAAAATGGAAACTTACAAGTGAAGTTACCGCTGCTTCCTGTGTTCAGGAAGAAGGTCTGTCCCACAGCTCTGGTTTTCCCCTGAAATTCGTCTGCATAGTGCCCCATTTTGGGGCATCCTTCAGCTGGACAAGGGAAACAGCTATTCTAGTGGAGAAAAAAAATTTTGTCTAAGTCGTTGGCCTTTCACCCACTCACTCACTTAATTCATATTCTTTTCCATCCTCCGATCTACCTATCCATCCCTTATGCATCTTCTCATCTACTTATCCTTCCTTCCATTCATATATCCATCCTACCCCCTCTTCCATCCACTGAACCATCTGCTCATGCACCCATCTGCCCTTGCATCCATGCATGCATCCATTGGGAATTTTCCAGAATGGAAAGTTGGGGATCTAGGGAAGGCCCAGGACTGTGCTGTCCCCCTCCTGCCCACCCTGCTCCCGGGTGGAGAGCTCCATGACGCTCAGCATTTCTAGCACATCTTTTCATTAGCCATGGGGTGACACCTCTGTTCTGTTCCAAGCCACAGGGACAAAGCCACCACCACCAGGGCCACCAAGAACATCTTCCCTGGACCCCTGGTGCGACCTACCTCCTGAAACTCATTGTAGGAGGCACATGGGTAGCCTAGGAAGCCATCGGGGCTGAGGATACTGCTTGAGTAATACTTGTAGCTTCTTAGGTGATTGCAAGCAACAAAGTCATGGGTTCCTGAGAAAGCAAAGGCCCTGGGAGTTCACAGGAGGCACTGAACTTTTGAAGCCTGAACCATTCTGACCGAGCGAGGAATCATCTCCACATTTCACAGGTGGGTGTTGGTGCTCCTGAACACCTTGGTCACAATTTGAAATTTCTATCGTTGATTTTGACATACTTCAGGGCAAGTAGGAAATGTGGGGACTTGTTTAGTAGTGGTCGTTGGCCAGAGTCACTGTCCTTTCTCCAGCACTGTCCTTCTGGGGAGGTATTCCTCAAGGCTAAGTGAGTCCTAACAAGCACCTTGGTCCAATCCTCCAGGGGGCTGGCACATAGTGTAAATGAATGATGAGGACTTGGGGGGGTGGTTTGCAGTGGGGTAGTGAGAAATATATATATGTATATCCTTTCACATGACCTTAGCTTTTCTGTGCCTATGGTCTCAGGTTGAGATATTCCTCCTTCATCCTCTCCAAGGCACAAAGTAAAAGCAATGGAGAGCAAGGTCACCGGGGCCGCTGGCTGCTCTTTCACTGCATTTGATTCACCATCTTTCACTTTACACCAACGTCCTCTTGTTTGGGAAATTATTTTTTCATTTCTCCAGCTACTTGGTTCAAAACTTCCAAGGAGTGATCCACAGTGACCCCGGACTTACCTGGGGACCACTTCCGGGGGGTCTGGTGGGCTTTATCCACCACCCGTGGAGAGAGGGTGGCTGCCCTTTGTGCTGGGGGCGCGGGATTAGCTCTCCAAGCCCCCGGCCCCATGTGCCCCACACCAACACTCATTACCAGACAACAGAACCTGTTTCTAACTTAATTGTTTCTTTCATCCAAAATTGCTGCCCAGGGGTTCCATAACAGAGGGGTGAACGGATTTCATTGTTCCTCAGGGCAGGCACCTGATGACTCAGAGCAGCACATGACAGAAACACATCCAGCACTGGGGGCTTATCGGCTCTCCATTACCTCCCTAGTTAAACCTGGGCTCCTTCCTATTATGTCTGCCCTGCACGGCCCTTCTGGGAGGGGCGCCCTCATTGTGACTCTGGTGTTCTTTCAGAGAGCAGAACAGCCAGGGAGCCCTCCCTGGAGTTACAAGGTGCTGAGCAGAGAGGAGCTCAAAAGCTCCCCTGACCACTGGTGATGTTGGCTGTTGTTTTATCAGCTCCGCTCTTTCACAGCAAGCACGTGCAATATTAAACTGTCACTGCAGGCCACTCAGCTCAACATAAGGAACAGCACTCAGAGCCTGCTTTGGGCCAGGCCCTGAGCAGGGTACTGGGCGTCTGGGATGCTCACCACACAGCCCCTGGCCTTGGAGAACTCCCAGCCCAGAAAAATAAAGACTAACATGAGATCATCACAGATCAAAGCCTCCGCTTTCAGGGAGGAGAGTGAAGCCTGTTCTCAGGGGAGGGTGACAGGAATAGCCAAGGGACAGCTCATAGAGATGGTGCTTTAGGTCACCTAATATTAGGGGCACTGAGCCTGCTCTCTCAGAAACAGGGACACACAGGGGCTCATCCCCCAGGCCCCCAGACCTCCACCCTCACGCACGTGCTCCCCAGACCCACAGAGCATATCCTACCCCCTGCCATTGTCTTCTTACCAGCTCAGCCCTTCTCTATTCCCAGCACCTGACAACAGCAAATGGCAAGAAAGTCAAAGCCCTTCAAATCTTTGCTTAGACCGTGGAGTTCTTCAAGGAGCCTGCACTGAAGGAAGGATGGGGGCCAAAGCCAGAGCTGGGCAACAGCGATGTGCCAGTGCAGCCCACGTCTCAGCATCCTGATGGCGGAGATGATGCAGGCTGGGCCACACGGCTGGGCTTTGCAGCCAGAAATTGGGTTTAAGTATAAGGTGGCCTTGGGCAAGTTTTATAATGTTCCTGATCCAGTTTCCTCATCTATAAAATGGGGCCTAGCAGAGTAACTATCTCATGCCATTGTGGTGAAAACGCCTGGCACAGATAAACACTCCATCAGTGGAGGCAAATCTGTATCCGGGAGGCCGGACCACACCTCCGCCTTCTCCCAGGTGGACTGAGCAGCCGCGGTCCTGATAGTTGAATTTACATACCTTCCCATAGTCCATTTACATCAATGATGGTTGAAAGGATATTTTTCTGACATCCAGGCATTTGCTTTCCTCCATTGGGGAAGAAATCCAGATGGCCCACCTTTTGGCTCATTCCAAAACCTGAAAGATGGGCAGCAGAAGTGAGGGGGGAGGGAAGTGGTTCCAGAGTTAGGTGGTGGCCACAGAGAGCGTTCAACTCCTTCCAGCAGGTGGGAGAGCCTTCTTGGCAAGTTCTCCCCTCAGCACAGCCACTCTGTCTCTGGCTGTACAGAAAATTCTCAGAGATGAGCACTTAGCAAGATAAGAGGGTAGGAGCGAGCAGAGGATGAGAGATGAGGGGATGTGTAGGCTCTGGGTAAGCATGCACACACGTGTATTTGTACGTGTCTTTTCATCTTGGGAAGGCTCTGAAAAACACTGCTATGTCCTGATACCATTATGCACCAGAAGATACATCTCAGGGCGGGTGCAATTTTTATTATTTGTTTCATTTTAAAATTTTGATTTCTACATTATTGTGTTACATTGAGACCATATAAACTATGTTGCTATATTGAGAACCATGGCATAATGGCTAGACGGTTTAGATCTTGAAGAACACAAAGCTGTGATCACATCCTGGTTCTACTTAGAGACTCGGTGATCTTGGCCAATTACTTGACCTTGTTGAGCCTCAGTTTCCTTACTCTGAAATGATAATAACAGTATCTACTCTCGAGGGTTGTTACATGATTAGCGAGCTAATATGTTCCAATTGTTCAATGCAGCACATGGCAAAGCTCCATAAGTTATATCATCATCATCATTATCATCAAAAAATGTACCTTCCATTAGCATGCTGTATGAGAGGTAATGTAAGAAAACATTGAAAAAAAACTCAGTTGAGTTTAGAAGAATTAAATAAAGGGCTACATTTAATCTCCAATAAAACAAACTGTAACCAAAGCTTTGACAAAAGAAGAAAAATATTCAAAAATTAACTTTGCATTTTGCAAGCACAGGTCAAACACCAATAATCTGCCACTCTAGATACTGTCAGACTGGGGAAGGGTGCAGAGTCGGACGACTGAGTGACAGCCTTCCACAGGCTAGAGAAGAGACTTTCGTCCTACCTGGGGCCTCAGGCTGACATCGCTGGCACTGTACTGGCTGTTTATTTGTGGCTGACACCCGTTTTGACTGGTTGGTACCCAAACTGTTCCAGTGGTTAACCATTTTGACTACCACCTGCCGTATGTGTGTGTGTGGGTTGGAGAAGGGCGACAGGGGGCACACACCTGGACTTATTCTCAACAGTGACAGCCCAGGTCACTGAGAGATGGAGTGAGGACCTCACCTAGGAAAGGGATGATGGGAGCAGTATCCGTGTGAATCACATCCACAAACATGGCATCGGATGGGTCCAGCCGAACCTCCTTGGGATTGCCCTGGAAGCATGGCTCTGCCGGATCCAGCCCTAAAAGGGGAGAGGGGGACCGGGAGGCCACGCTCTAAGACGAATCAGGATCTAAACCCTGTATCCACAAAACCACGGGGATTTCTAGGCAAAGGGCCCCACACCCCATTACTCATAGTTTGGAGAACTGGATGTGCAGTTCCTGGTCTACTTGGGAGAGAGGCTGGAACAGAAAGGCTGGAAGTGGGGTCGTTGCCTGTCAAAGAACATCCAGAAATCCCCACTGCCTGGCTCCACGGAGGTTTGGACTGGTGCTCTTGCCCTCCTTTGTCTCCTTTTCCCTTTTTATCTTTCACATCTTTTTTCCTGACTGGTGTTAGGATCAGGCCACTGCTCTTCAAGACTGCACGTTCCCTGGCCTGGCCCTGCGCCCAGCAACATTCATTAAATGTTGAATTGAACGGTTTGCCAAAGTGCATGCTGATTTGGCTGCGAAAAATAGTTGTCTGTGTCTATGTCTTGTGCATATTCATTTTGCCTAGTGTTTCATTCATTAATTCATTCTTTACTGAGCACCTTCTATGGTAGGTCTCAGCCACTTTCATTTTCTGCCTCTGGCCGGCACAACAAAGACATTCAATAAATATTTGTGGAACTGATGAATTGATTTAAAAAAATCAGCTCACTTAAAAAAAAACTTTGCCAAACTTTAGCAATAATAACCCTTAAGTCATGATTTTAATCTCTTATATTTCTCTTTTTTAAATAAATGTATTTTTCCTTACAATCACATGTTTTCTAATTCACATGAAAACACATGGACAATTATTTTTTAAATCCCACGAACCACCTAAAATCAGTTCCAGGAAGACCGGAAGGGGCGCCCTTGGCGTTGGGAAGTGCGCAGGGGCGGGGCGGGGTGGGGCGGGGGTCTCGCCTGCCACCTCCCATCCTCCCGGCTGGGCCCCGCGCCCCACCTCCTTCCCTCCGCGCCCCACTTCCCTCGGCGCTGTACCTGTGATCCTGCTCACGCGGCCCTGCAGCCTCCTGCCCGCCTCCGCGACCGCGTGCGCGCCCAGGCTGTGGCCGATGAGGTGCACGTTCTCGAGGCCATAGCCCAGCTCGCTCTGCGGAGTAATGGAGCGTCAGGTCCCAGAGGACCGGGTGGGAACGCGCCGGCTCCGGGAACGGGGATGGGGCAGGACCCGGGCTGGAAACTCAGGAGGACTGACTCCCGGCTTCAGGCCGCCGCCTAGGACAGCGCGATCCGGTCCCGGGGTGGCCACAGTCTGCCAGTCCCGGGGTCTGGCCGGCGCGCGGGGCAACAGTGCTGACCAGTGGCCACCGCGTCTACTGCAGGGCGCCTTGGCCGGGACTGGTTGTGCGCTGCCTGCTCCCGCCTGCTCCCACCCGCACCCCACCGCGGGACTCCCCCACCTCGTCCCCGCAGGGACTGGGCCAGCCTGGAGGAGCGTGAGTGAGATTCTCCAGACTGACTTTCCTGCGGACCCAGACTCATTTCCTGGGCTGAGAACTGCTGGGCAACCCACTCAGCTCTGCAATTCCTAGAACAGCCTCCAAGGATGGCATATTTCAAAAGGGGACTGAGGCTCAAAGACGTTAGTCTGCCCCAGGCCCCATAACTAGGGATCTTCAGGAAAACCCCGCAGGAGGAAATTTGCAGCTTCATTTTAGCAAAGGCCCAACTCAGGCTCCCAGGCTTCCAGGCTTCGCCCCTGCCCACTGGTCCCCAGGCTGCCTCTAGGTGCCCCGCCAAGCTGGCCTACCCCTTCCCAGCCCCCTCCCCACAGGATGTGGCCCAGGCAGGGCTTTACCGACAGCCCTTGTACTAAGAAAGCTATCTCTGCTCCCACGAGGCGAATGTTCTGGACTGCTTGGGTATATCGCGTCCGGGCTCCATGTTTCCAGTCCACACAGATGCAGTTCACCTTCTCCACTTTAAACATTTTCTGGGGAAGACAAACAAGAGGGAGAAACCAATTTATTAACAGCCACAGGTTGCACAGTCCAGAGATAGGAATTCACAATCACCAAGCATCTAGCTTGTGTCAGAGCTTCCATCTTCCTCACACTTGTCCTGATCCTCACCAGAGCGCTGTGAACTGGGTGTACTGATCCCCACTTAGCAGATGTGGAAACTGAGTCCTGGAATGGAGTGCCTTGTCTAAGGTCTTACAGATTGTCATTGACACAACTAGGTCAAAAAGGTGGCTTACTAGATCGGGGTTGGCAAGTTACTACCCAGTGCCAAATCCACCTGCCTTTATAGAGTTCTATAAAGCCACACCCACTTGCTTACATATTGTCCATCTCTGCTTCATAGCTATAACAGAGTTGAGTTGAAACTGTACGATCTACAAATGCTAAAATATTTACTACCTGCTCCTCTGCAGAAATAATCTGCAGACCCTTGTACTAGATGGTTGAGCGAGTGCTTTTTGTTGTTCCCAACAATGCTTTGGTGGAAGATGAAAACTATTGAGGGGCAAATTTAATAAGATCAAACGGAAATAGAGGTAGGAAACAACTCTTCCTGGTACAAGCATCTTTTCTCTCATGTGATTTGATCACAATCTATTGCCCATAGATAACTGGCCCCCTGAGGGGGGAAATAAACATTAGAAAGGGTCACCCCATATCCTTTGTTCACTTTGGAGGTCCTGGACTGCATTTTGGGGAGGGGATGAGTTGGCTGGAGGTCAGGGCATCACGGTAGATGCTGACTTTCCTATCTCCAGGTCCACACAGCCTCCTTCTGGGACACAGTGGGGCAGGTGTGAACACCCCAGCCCCAAGAAGAGTAGAGCCCTTGGGCAGAAGCTCCTTGAGGTCTATCCCAGCGCAGACTTAGCCTCTGTGAGCTGTGCGGCGGGCATCTCCCACAGGCTAAATCTGTAGACATGTGGGTGTCTTATGGACAGAAGACCTGGTTTTGCATCCCCCCCCCTGGATTCAACTTTGGGCAAGTTTTGAACTTTTTTGTGCCTTAACTTCCTCATCTATAAATGAGAACCATGACTTTACCTTCCTCACAGTGTGGCTAGGAGGGTTAAACAGGACAAAGACTTTGAAATGATGCACATAGAGTCATGCTCATAGTAAATGCTCAGGAAATGGATGTTATGAATAATTATTCATTACTGACATTCATGGTAACTTTAGAGCTGTGCTGTTCAATACTGCAGCCACTAGCCACATGTGGCTCTTTAAAATTAAATAAAATTAAATACAATTTAAAATTCAGTTCTTTGGTCACACTAGCCATATGTCAAGTGCTCAGTAAACACAGGCTAGCGGCTCCTGACTTGAACAATGCAGATATAGAACATTTCCATCATCACAAAAAGTTCTGTTGGCTAGCAGTGCTGTAGAGGGTAAAGTTTAAGTGTTTTTTTTTATGTCACACAGGGGTTTTATGTAAACTATCAGAGACAAATGCCAAGTAGATTGCTGTGGTCTTCACCTCTGAGACTTCATGATTGGACTCTGGGTCTTTTCAGCCTCATGAGGAGACATTTGGCTAGAGGTTGGTGAGTTGGAAGAACTTGACAATGGATGCTCTTGAGGACCCAGGTTTTTCTCAGTGGTTTTAGGAAGGACCCATCTCTCCCTGGAGTATTGCCTTTGCTGGCCTCAGGAGCTGCAGAGTTTGACTTTGTGTGCTGGCTGCTGGTGTCCCCAGGTGAGGAGGGTAGGCACCTACCTTGCACAGCTCAGTGGGCCAGCTCTCCTCCCCCTTGTCTAGGAAGCCATGGACGATGAAGCGTGTCTTGCGGTCCAGTTGGAAGTTTGAAGCCTCAATGGTAGCTAGGTCAGTGACGTTGATCAGCTGGTTAAATTTGAAAAGATGAATTTGAATGCTGGCCTCTCCAAGCCACAGACCTAATAGAGCCAGTTCTCATAAGCCTGAGGTCACAGGTTCAACTCCCATGAAGTTGGATCAGGCTAGAACAGGCGTTCCTGACCTGGGGTTCAAGGATAGAATTCAGAAACTCCAAGTTTATGGACTTTCCATACTGAAATCTGGCATTTTTGTTAAATGTAAAATTGGGCAACCACAGTAGACTTAGTGACACTCTGTCACCAGTGGAAGTCACAAATACTTTCATGTCACATTACAGTTGTTACAGATATCTTAAAATATCACTTGTACTCACTGCTATTTAAAATTGCAGAAATTATTAGACCAACCCCTGGACCATGTTATGCAGTGAGATAATAAAGCAGCACATATATTATTATACCCCATATTTACCTTTATTTAAATGTTCTGATAACTATTTTCCAATATAATTAGTATTCTTAGTCATCCAAGGTATTTTATCTTATGCACTTAGGGCCCCTCGTGCTCCATTGAGCTACGTCTCCCTTCACGACTGATGTTTCTGGTCCAGGGGTTTTTCATTTTTTTTCTGTGCCAGGACCTCTTTGGTCGTCTGGGGAAGCCTACAAGCCCCTTCTCAGGACTTTTGTTTGCTTTGCATCAAATGAATTTTATTTTTTCAAATTTATTTTTTTAAATGGGGACTTTGGGTGGGGAGTTTGTCACCAAGGATCCTGCAGTAGGTGACCTTGGGGACCTAGAGACAGACACCTGGCTCTCTAAAACTTGGTCTGGGACCAGAGCTATAAACAAGTACCTTCTGCTTACTTCTGAGCATCTGGAGAAAGCCTGCCAGCCTCCACCGGGCAGGCCTTCGGGGAACTGAAGATTGCTCTGAGGGTCCCCAACTTTTCTCCTTTGTGGTTAAATGTCCCCTGTCCCTTGCCTGTTTTCTAGCTTCTGAGGAAGGATTAAGACCACCCCCACCCCAACCCCATCCTCTGAGGGACTTCTCTCCCTCCACTGTGTGGTGTGGAAAGAACACAGACCCTCCCAGGGGTACACCAGGCCTGGGTTTCTCCATAAAAGCTGCTCTTCCCGTCTTCCTCCCAGGAACCGCGTTCTAAAGCTGGGAAGCCCTAAAGTTATTCGCACTAATGTGTGGATGTGTCAGTTTCTGGGTTGGGTGTCCATAGATTCCATGAGATACGCATAGGGGTTTGTGATCCTGAGAGCTGAGATGGCCCTAAGTCTAACATTGGTGAGGAAGCATCATCTGGAAAGTTCCAAGGCAGTGAACTCTTCTTTGGACAACCATGTGAAGGCTTCAGTGTGGGTGCCCACATCCTCCCACCAGGCCGTCACTCTGCACCCCCCTTACTTGGTAGTTGTTTGGATTCTCATTTGTGTACAGAAGAAAGCGGGCCTTGATGTCCTCAGGGGCCCAGGGAAATAACTTTAACGGCCGCTTAAGGGTCCCGGCCCATGGCTTTTCATCGGAAAAGCAGCCAAAAGGTCTGTAGCAGATCTCCTTTCCTGGGGCAGGAAGAGGAACAAACAGGACACTTGTGAGGGTCTGAGAAGGAGCGATGTCATCTCAGCTACGCAGAAGGACTCTGCAGGGTGCAGCCCAGGGCTGGCCAGAGCCCCTGCTCCTCTGTATCTTTGCTGTCAGTGTTTCCCAAACCTCCGTGATAAGAATCAGCTTGGGCTTCTGGGTGAAGATGTGCACTGCATATGCATATTCCTAGGCCCTTCCCCCAGAGACTCTGATTCAGAGGGTCTGGGGTGGGGCCCTGGAAACAGTGTATTTAATAAGTGCCCCTTTTATCAGGCAAGTTGGGGAATTCCTGAGAATTCCTTCAGCCTTAAAACAACTTCTTCCAGGAAACTCCCAGATGGCCGTATACATACATTCATCGACCATGAAGTGTTTATCAAGTGCCTATGAACGCTGTAGCCCAGAGATGCTACTTGAGCCTTGACGTCACCATTACCCCCAGCACAAGCCGTGCATTCATGGGCATTTGTCCAATCTACGTGTCTTCATGGCACCTTGTCTGCACCTTTCTTTCCAAATTACTCTCTGCTATTTTAGATTTCCCTGTTGTCCTTTGAAAAGGTACATGTCTTAAGAATAGGGAGAATTTATTTTTGCATCCTGCTGACTGTGGTAGTGGCTCAATAGACAGAACTGGTGCCCTAAATAACCCCACCTAATCTGAGGGTCTTTTCTCTGGTCCATGACACATTTTCACTTTTTCATAATTGCATCACCCCCCAGTATAACCAGGGGTGACACAGTTTCCAATCCAGAGGATTACAATGAATCTTCTCTCTTAGGCTTCCTCAACTCATGGTGCCAAATATTGGTCATTCATTCAAAACTGGTTCTAGTTAATACTTATTTACCATATGCCAGATGCCACACTAGTGCTTTACCAGTATTGGCCCATATTAGCCTCCAAACAGCCCCACGAGTAAGGAATTAGTACTACCTCTCTCTGACAGAAGAGGAAACCAAGGCACAGAGAGACACAGTAAGCTGCCCAAGGTCACAGCCAGTGTGGAGCCCGGATCTGTACTCGGGAAGTTTAATTGGGAGTAAAGCTGGGAACTGGGGAGCCACAAAGACAGATCAGAGCCAAACCCGTCCCTGCAAGAGAGGAAATCTAACCGGGAAGGACTAGTGACAGTGTTGGGTTCATTCTGGGAAGAGTCCAGTCCCACAGGAAGGGCTACAGAAGGCTAAAGCAATGTTTGCTTCAGGTGATAAATGCAGGGGCTTGAAGGTCAGGTTAAGACACCTGGGCTGTTAGGTGGATGGTGGAAAAGTGCTGGGGGGCGCTGAGCTAGCGAGTGCGGTGGGGGGCTGTGCTACCTGGAGTGTTTTGAGGAGCCAAGTGAAAGTGGCTCAGAGGCAGGAGAGCCTGGGAGCGCAGGGCCTGTGGGTCTGGAGAGGTGATGGGGGTTCTGACCTCTTATGGCAGTGGAAGTGAAGACACAGGTGGGGGGACGGGGTGGGGTGGTGTCCAAGCCTGGTTTGGGACAAGTGAGTTTGAGGCATGGCGAGAGGCCCTGGTGGAGCTGCCTTGAACTTGGGAGGACTGGGGAGAAGGCCGGGGGTGACTGGGCAAGGGGTGGCCCCGAGGCAGAGAGTGATGAGGAGGATGCCTGGGAGTGAACTTTGGGGATGCCCACGTCTCAGGCAGGAGGAAGCAGCAGATCAGCGAAGGAGACTGAGAGGGGTGGGAAAAGGCGGGAGGAGCAGCCGGACCCACCGGAGCTCTGCTCTCAGGGGCTGGGTCTTGCTGCACAGCCAGGATGGAATTCCAGAAAGGCAAGAGGGGGCTGGGGACAAGCCGAGGAGACAAGGAGGGAAGAGCCTGGATGCAGAAGAAAGCCTTTGCAGGGACCAGAGGAGACCACGTCTGCCCTTGGGGAGAGTGCATCCAGCAAGATTTGGAGGCCAAGCCAGGCAGGAGGGCTCTGACTGATGGGAGAGGAGGTGAAGAGACCTGGCAGCATGGGAAACAGTCCACCTGTGAGGAGGTGGGGGGATGGGAATCAGCAAGTTGGGGCTCAAAAGGGCTTTGGTGGCAAGGGAGCTTATTTTGTTTTAGGACAAGTAGATCTTGGGTTTCTGTATCTCTGGACAGAAGCCAGAGGAGAGGGCCAGTTAGTGCTGGAGGGACAGGGAGGGTAACCGTGAGAGGAGTGAGGGGTGGGGGGTGAACGAGCAGGAGCCTGGGCAGGACGGGAGTCTCGGGGGACAGAGCCACGTGGTTTCAGACATGCACTACCCATTCCCAGGGACTGAGGGTACTGGGGGCCTGACAAGAACACCCCACTCTCCACCTGCCCCAGCTGCCTGCCACCTCTGCTACCAGCTTCACAGCCACCTGGGCCTTTGTAGGAGGAACGAGACACGCTGGATGATTACCCGAGATCTTCCGTGCTGAGCATGGTGCCCTGTGTGTGACACAGAGTCAACATGCCCTGAATGGTGGTGACTGTTGTTTTTCTTGAAATAATGACAGTGCTATTAGTCAGGAGGAGGAGGAGGAGAAGGATGTGATGCCTCTCTCTGTCTCACCCAAAGGCCAGCCCAGGCACTGTCATTTTCTCCCCAAGGGGATGGTGACAGCATCCTTACCTCTGACTGTGGTCAGCAGGAGAAGGCCGATGGTCCAGGAGTGCAGCATCCTCCTGGATAAAGACAGAGACATGCACAGACCCCCAGGTGCACGGGTGTGAGGCTGGCGGATGGGGGAGGCAGCCCTCAGCACGTGCGGGACAGTGAGTGAAGCAGAAGCCTAGCGGCCTGAGCTCCACAGGGCCCTCCCTCGAGGCCAGGACCTTGAGGCTGAGGCCTCCCTGCACACAAGGAGTCGGGCAGCTCCTCTCTAGGACCTCGGACTCAGGGTCTTCCCACTGCAGTGGCTTCCCGGTTCTGGGCCACGTCCCTCTGGCAGCCCCAGCCCCGCCAAGCTCCCTGCCCGTGTAGGGCCGTGACTTACTGCGCGGCTCCAGAGTTTCCAGATGCAGCCCAGGAGGCTGGTTTGGGCACAGCCTTTTATGACCAGGCTTTATCCTATGGACTCCTCAGAGCAAAGGACGGGGGTGGGAGGGGGGAGATAGGGCGCCGCACATGCCTGCTTTGAACCTTCGTTATCATAAATACATAAAGCCAGCTCAGCCGGGGGGAGCAGGACTGCTTAAAAAGTGAGATTCAAGGAATGGAAAACTGACTTTGGGGATGGAAAGTGCTCTGTTCATCTGAAGTTACAGGCACAGGTGACAAAAAGTTGTATTCCCCAAGTGGTATCAGGGAAATACCGAGTGGTGATGCCTCCCATTCAAAAATCCCTGCAGAAACAGGAACCCCGAACCCATCTCGGGGCCCTGCAGACAGTGGCAAAGCTGTGCAGGAGGGGACAGATGGAAGACGTGCTGTTCAGTGGAAGGGCCTGTTTATGAAAACACGGGCCCTGGTTACTTTGAGGGTGGGGTGGGTGGAGAGCATCCCTCCAAAGAGCCTGGACCTGCTGGTGGAGGTGCTCAAAAGAGTAAGTGAACTCTGTTCAAATATAGCTTTGTTTGGAAGCAATATAGTCTGTTTTAAAAGCAATTCTGAGCCTCATCAGCTGGAACTTGACCTGGAGATGAGAAGATGGAAAGTATTTTCTTTCCTTCAGGGCTGAGAGGAGAACCTGGGTGAACAGCTGGGTGCCGCTCTGCCGTTATTTAAATTGACCTATACTTTGGGTAGTCCCAAGTGCATCCATCTTCAATTTAAAACTTAAGTACAGTTCACTGGGTTTTGACAAATGTATACCTCTAGATATACGCCTCAGCATGAAAGCATGTCCAGCAGCCAGCGTTTCCCTCATGATCCTTCCACCACCCTCGTAACAATGCTCCAACTTCTATCACCGCACGTTAGTGTGGTCTCTTCTGGAATCACGTAGAAACGGAATTATATGCTATGTGCTTGTTAGCGTCTTGCTTCTTCCACACAACAGGGTTTTGAGATTCATCCAGGCTGTTGCATGCCTCAGGGATTGGTTCCTTTTTAAGTCTGTGTCATATGGATGTATTTCTGTGTGAATGTGCCCCAGTTGGTGTATGCATTCCGCCTTGGTGGGCATGTGGGTTCTTTCTAGTTTGGGACTGTTATGAACAAGGTAGCTGGGAACAGTCTACTCCAGTACAGTTTTTTGTTTGTTTGTTTTTTTTGGTAGACACATGCACTCAGTTCTCTCAGGTTTGTCCCTGGGAGTGGAATTACCAGGCCCTCAGGTATGTGCACGCTTAACTCTAAGAGCAATTGTACCTGCATCAACTACCCCCCACGGCTGGGTGAGAGTTCCAGTTGCTCCATATTCTACTCCTGCCCTTCAATCAACTCTAGATGCATTAAGGTTGCCTGCAGTTTCCTGAGGGTTTCAAGTGTAGAATGGCTTCTTTTTTGTGAACCTCCCTTCTAAGAACGCCGAGGCTAGAGGTGAGCAGTGTGGAGCTGAGGGGAACCAAGGAATGAAGTTCTCTATTTGAAACAGGCTTATGATTTGTGGAACTGGTAAAGTTTTGATGAACTAGATGAGGCCGCCTATGCCTCATGTGGCCACTCCATGGCCCCTGGAGGTGTCCTGCAGCCGAGGGAGGAGGTTGGGTCTAAGGCTTGACAATCACGTTCATAAAGGACCCTTTGAGGAGACCAGAATGACTATATTAGGCTGAATGGAAGCCCTAGACCCATGACATGGGACCAGTGGCTGCCCACTGCCCTTGGGAAAACATACAAACGCCTTCCCAGGGTGCAGTGTTACCTGGACCACGCCTGCCTCCCCTCCTTCACCTTGAGTCTCACTTATCAAACTCCAGGCCCACCAGCCATCTGTCTTCTCTTGAAGTCTTTGTATATTCCATTTCCCCTTCCTGGAAAACACCACCCTAACTCTCCCCCTGCCTAACTCGAAGTTCTCCTTCAGGGCTCAGCTTAAACGTCACATCCTCAAAGAAGCCGTCTTTAGTGCCCATGGAGGACCCAGACCTCCCTTTACATCTCTTCTCATGGTCCTTACTGTTTCTTCCATGAAATGCATCCCAGTTGGTAATTACATTTCAGTGATTATTTATTTAGATCTTGCTTTGGCAGCAGAGTCAAGGTCTGTATGCCTCACCAGAGCCCAGCACAGCAACTGACAGCTACTAAGTGACCAATAGACATCTGCTGGATGAAAGAATAGGGCATTTAAAGCTAATGGTGAGCTGGATAACTTCCAGATCTCTCCTGCCTCTCCTCCCTGCTCTGTGCCCTGGGGGCTGTCTCTGGGGGTGGCCTCCCTATGTTACTTGCCCATGGCCTTCTAGTTGGGTTCGGTCAATGGGAGGCACCATCTGGAGATCGGAGGGTTGGAGGACAGAGTTTTGGATATTCCTTCCCCAGACTCCCTCACTTCTGCACCGTATTTGGGGCACTTCTCTCCTGGGGGCTGTAGCACCTCTCAGGCAGCTCCCTCCCTGGGCCCCAGCTCCTCCCAGATTCTGAGGACAGCTCCCTCCCTCCATGCTTCAGAATCCAAGGAAGTTAGAGCTTCCAGCTGGTGTGAATCCCTGGCTGCTTTCACCCTGGTGGGTTCATGTAACCCTGTCCACATCTCTGTAAATAGTCCCTTTGATCAGTCCTTATAGTGGGTTCTTTCTTATTACTGGGGCCCCAACAGGTGCAGGTCACTGGACATCCCCTGAGAGAGGACAGCCACGGTGGTTCAGAAGCCTGTGGTCCATCTAGGGGGATTAGCTAGGCCTTGGGCACCTCCCTGTCCTGACTCTGTATTCCTCATGAGGGAATTTCCATCCTTATTAGGGAAGAATTTTGGATGGTGTCGTTCTTTGGTTATTGGTTTTGCAACCTATACTAATAGCAGCCAACCCTTTCTGTGATTTGATTGTCATTTTTGATAAAGGTTTACTAAGATGCTTTCAGATAACCTGTGGTTCCCATCATCTGAGCTCTCCTGGTTCCAGCCATAGGTTGGTCAAGGAATCAGGGAAACCTTCTCACCTGTGTGGCTAGTGGTGTTTCATCTGGTCAACAGCCACCCCAGATGCAGAGCTGGAAAGGAAGGAGAGGTTATAATTCCTTTAGGCAAGAAGCAATTCTTACTATTTCCAGGCTACCAGGCTCTGCTCTAAATGTCTAGCGGAGGTGGTGGTCACCCCTGTCCTCAAGGGACTCACTGAGGCAGATCTACTCAATGTAGGGAAGACTTTCTAAAGGCTGGAATCACTGGGAAAGAGAACAGGGCTTTGCTGGTGGGAAGGGACCCCCTGCCTCACTTGGAGGACAGTACGACTCAGTAGAGATGGGACGTCAAGCTTCAGGTGAGAGCTGACTTAGGTGATCTGCTTCTAAGGTCGTTTTCAAATCTCGGATCCCACAAGAAATTTTGAAAACTTCAACCTCGAGAAAGGACTCACCATTCCATTCAAGCAGGAGTCATCCCAAAGCAGCACAACATCTAAATCCCTTTTTCAAAGTGGCTGAGAAATCACCCAGCAGGCGACATCACCTAAGGTAATGAGAAACGCGCTGTGCAAACACGTGGGGAGTACCATCTCCAGAAGCGGTGTTGGGGGCCAAGAGGGAGAGCTGGGTGCCAGAAGAGAAGCAGGTGGTGTTGCTTCAAAAGGTGTTCTGAGAGACAATGGCAGCGAGCAAATCATAGCTCTTAGAGAACCTTGCTTCTTCCCCTTCTACAGCCAAGGCAACGGAGGCCCTGAAATTAAGGGGCTTGGTTTAAGTGCGAATGGAAGTGTAGGCCTTGATCTTGGGCTCTGCCTCCTACTGTGGTGCTGCTGCTCTCTGGAGAACGTAGGTCTAAGTCTGCTGACTTGTAAAATGGGTGGAATCTAGGTAGCTTTAGACACATTGCCCCTACACCAAGCTGCTCCCCAAGGGAGCAGTTACCAGTGGTTGGGGGCAGACCCACTGGGTGCTCCCAAGCAGTCCTGAGCCTGTCTGGTCTCTGTGGCAGGGTGACCCAACGCAGGCCAGCAGAGCCCTTTGCTGCCTCCCACTTGGCTGCCTGTGACAGGGCCAGCTCAGCTCCTCTCTCCTCTCTGGGGACCTGAGGTTCTGAGGTTCTGCCAGCTGTCTGCCCTGGGAAGGATGGGAAGGCCAGCACTTGTGGGAAAAGTCATTCATAGGCCACATGTTGTTGGGTGGCAGGGTCAGGGTCTGGGGGAGGCCTGCCAGCTGGCCTAGCAGCTGCCCAGAAGGGAGCTGGTGGCTCAGGTCCTCCTTCTCCTGCACCCTGAAGCCCACTGAGACATGTTTGCTCCTCGCTTTCATCACCTCTTTATCTGTCCCCCCGTCCACTCCCTCTGCCCTTGCCCTCGAGGGTGGGTAGCACCTCTCTCCAGGCCACCGCATCCGGCTCCCCCCCAGCTCCCTCCCAGCTTGAATCCTGTGCGTGGCTCCTGAATGCCCTCAGATGCGTGTCTCACGTGTTTGTTCACTTATTCGTGCTCATTTTTATGTGACCACAATGTGCTGGATGCTCTTCCAGCCTTGAGGGTACAGCAGTGAACAGAACAGCCTCCTTCCCGCCCTCATGGAACTGATGGTCCCTTAGGGCACAGGCACTAATGGCTTAAAATATATACACAATTACAAGTGACTGAGTGGGCCAAGAAAAAAAGCACGTTGATGGCAGCTTGTGCCAGGGCTACGGAGTTTAGGCTTTATCTAAAGAGAAGAATTTGGGGGTATCAGATGGAGAGCGATTCAATTTAGGTGAAATCCAAGCTCCTAAGTGGGGCCTGCAAGGTTGGCCACTATTATGGGTTGGGTTGTGTTCCCCACAAAAAGACATGTTAGAGTCTTGGCCCCAAGGACCTCAGAATACGGCCTTATTCACAGAGGTGAAATGAGGTCATTAGGGTGGGTCCTAATCCGGTATGACTGGTGTCCTGATAAAAAGGGGGACTTTGGACACAGAGACTTGCACACAGGGAGAAGGCCATGTGAGCACGAGGGAAGAGACCTGGGGGATGCTTGTATAAGCCAAGAAATGGGAAAGGTTGCCAGCAACCACCATCAGGAGAGAGGTGAGGACAGGGTCTCCCTCATAGCCCTGGGAAGGAGCCAACCCTGTGACATCTTGGTCTTGGACTTTTCCGCCTCCAGAGCTGTGAGACAATAAGTTTCTACTGTTTAAGCCACCTCGGTTGTGGTACTTTGTTATGGCAGCCCCAGCAAACCAATATGGCCACCACGTGGCCTCTGCCCAGCTTCATTTCTGCCGTTCCCCTGATGCCATCTAATTCCAAAATTGCTTTGGTTGAAGGACACATAGTTCTGGAATGAACTGGCTCTTTTCTCTCTTCTGAGCTCTTGCACCTGTGGTTGCCCCTGCCAGGGATGTCAGCTGCATCTCTCTCCGGCTGAGGAACCCACTGAGGTCCCTGCCTCGCGCTCTGAGACTCGTTTTCCCCCATCCCTCCCTGCTCCTCCAGCCACATTTGCTCCTCCATTCCAGATCCCACAGCAAACTCTGCACTCAAAGCCTGTGACCCTGGTCGTGTCTTCCACACTTTCAGCCCCAGATCCTACTCTCCAAAGTTTCTCAGACCTGAATAAATAAATGCAGGGACACCATCCTTGTTAAAAATTCTCACACCCTTGGGGACACTCCCATTAACCTCAATTTATTGCACATCAACTCAGGAAACAAAACTCTTGCTGCGAATTACCGCCACAAAGAGAACATTTTGCCCTTATAACTGGCTGGAAAAAAAGATTATCGTCAAAATGAAAACACAAAATTAATAAATTCCCAGGCAAGAGTACGCCAGGAGCCCTAGGATGAGAAAGCTCCACTTTGAGCATCACGGAAATCCTGTGTCCTGGCAGAGTTTTACCGAGGTGCATGGGAGGACCACCTGGGGGCTTTTCAAAAAGACCCATACCTGGGATTGTTCTTGAATTGGTTAGAGTGGGGCCTGAGGTCCACTCTCCCTCTTTTTCAAACTGGCAGGTGGTTCTGGTTTGCCAGCTCATGGCACGCGCCTGGTACTCCCAGAGCTGCCTCAGCTAGTCCCGTGAGCCCTCGGATGCCCCTGGAGGCAGGGCTAGCCTCGAGCACCGTGGAGTGAGCATGCAGGGCCTGAATCGATGGGCACAAAGCCCACCCTCACAAGCACTGCTCTGCACCCTCCCGTCTTCCGATAGCTTTGGGTCTGGGGTCAGACTGCGGCCACCACTCCTTAGGGTGCCTCCCTCATCTTACAGCATCTTACAGTTAACTTAAGGACTGAGCCTTCTGTTCTGGTGGCGCTGTTAATTGTCCTGTTAGAGCCTTAAGACAACAATACCAGGAAGGAAGGGCTGGGCTGTGGCTTCCATTTTACAGATGAGAAAGCCAAGGTCCAGGGAAGTGGAAAGTCCCTGCCCAAGGTCACCAGGTTTGACTAGAACGCTGACTGCTGGCTCAGTGCCTTATCCTGTTGCTTCCAACCAGACTGAATGTCCCTCTGAGTGTTATGTTAAACTGAGTATGAATGGGGCATGTTTTCATTGCTCCAAAGACCTTATCCATGTGCATTCTGAACAATGCACCACCTCTGTTTATATCAAAGATGGCTTTTTGTTGTTGGTTTGTTCAGTTCATCATCCAAACAAGTCCAAAGATCACATGTAATTGTTTTGCCCCTTAAATCCACTCCCTCTCTTTTAGAGAAAGAAGACAAATTTTTGTCGTCACAAATGAAATGTTGGGCAATGGAATAAACTCTTGCATCAAGCTAATTTTGGTGTTGGCCGCAAGTACAAACAGCAAAAGATCTTTTCAGAGAGCTCAAGAGAGAGTAGATATTAATGAAAATGAAATTGTAGCAAAACGAGCAGTTTTATTTTGTTTCACCTCTATTGTTTAAGAAACAAAACAGAACAAAGTCTAATCAAGCTGGCCACATGCAGCCCCTGAAATCTGGATGCGTGGGGCTGACATGGACTCCCCAGCGGTGCTGGGAAGTGAAGGTTCCGGAGCAAGGTATCACAATTATAACTTCTTTTGTGTTGTGATTCCTATTCACTTTGTGTGAAACTCAAGATTTAAGCTACTTTAAGTAGTTCAAAATGGAGTCACAGTGGCCAGTGTGAACTTCCACATTAGTTGTTTTGAAATGTCTGCAGTAGGACTGTGAGCGTCTTAGAGCAATAAACTAAGAGTGGTATTTTAGATATGAAATTTGATGGGCAACATACGTCACTGGAACTGAAGGAGCAACTGACAGAGATAAGACACCCTGGGAGTAACTGTTACACCTACTGACACAGCCTTAAAAGGAGACCCCTGAGCCCAGCTCTTCACTGGAGGACCCAACCCCTCGGTGCTGAGCTGCTGCAGGTGGAAGCTGCCGGAGCCTCTGTCAGGGCAGAGGGCAACTTTTCGTTTATGCTTGTCTCGGGACCCATGGCTGGATGGGGACCACCATTCGTGCTGATGCCTGCTTCCCAGACTTCCTCTTGGAGGGGTTTGTTACCCACTTTCCTGTTTCCCCTACTCTGACTAAGCTGTGTGGTGTGCTGTGTGTGTGCAATTAACCAAGTGATTTGTTAACTGAATACTGACTACGTTTCCAACATCTCCAGTCCCGGGATTCTTACCTGTCCCTACTGCTGGGCCCTGTGACACACACAAGGTCCATGGCTGGGATCTTGGAGCCTGCTGTTCTCTGCCTTCCTGGGATTTTTCTCCAGCTGTTTATCTGATAAAAGGACCTGTGCTCATTGGAGGAAAGGGACCTGGGAGGAGAGAGCAGGAGGCTGGCCCTGCTCCAGCTCGTCTCCATCAGCGGCCTTCCCTGTCCCCAGAGCATACGGTCACCACTGCACCTGCGGTCAAGACCAAGGTCACTCAAGGCTCAAGACAGGGCCTCAGCTGAGAGCATATGGTGTGGCCAACAGCCTAGGGGAGCCTCCCCCACTGCACTGCGTGCTCTTCTCAGCTTCCTCCCCATTTTAAAATTTTCCCCCAAAGTCATCGGCCACATCTGTTAGTCTGGGGAGCAGGTGAGACAGGCTATCCTTGACCAGGGAAGAGGCCTCCCATGGGGCCAACCAGTCCCGCCCCCTGCATTATACTTGCTTCTACCCCGCCCTCAGATGGTCTCATCACCTCTCACCTGTGTAGATGCGGGGGCCTCCTCCTCCTCGCTGGCCTCCCAGCCTGCCGTCTCAGTCAGTCATTCTCCTGCAAGCCTGGGCCTAGAACCAGCGGCTCTGTGGAGCCTTCCCCATCTTGCTCCTCCCCTCCTGGGCCCCCCATTCCTGGGGTATACCTTGCTTTTTGCACCATGGGGCAGCACGGCAGTGTTTATCTGGGTGCGGGGCTCCCTACTACCGTGCACGCCTCGAACACTGAATCCAAGGCGGCGAAGTCGGCTTCCCTCTCCCTCCAGTGCCCGACCCAGAGCTGGTGTTTGTGTTTGCAGGACCTGCATCCCACTGATTGAGCCCTTTTGCCCACAGTGTGCTACCTCACCCGGGGTGTGAGGCCATGGCCAGCGCTGAGCAAACTGTGACAAAGGGGCCCCAGCCCTGGGCACCGTCCTCTTCTGCTCGGTGCCTCCACCCTCCCCACCCCAATCACCACCGTTTCCTGAGCATCCACCTTGTGCCCTTTACTGTGAGGCCTTTGCTACAGTCGCTCCTTGAGTCTTCACCACACCATCTACTTTCAAGGCATAGCCTGGAGTTCACTCACACTCAGGTTTGAGGCTCGATAACAGCTTGACGTGCTGGGAGCTAGGAACAGAAGCCGGGCACTGACACTGCTGCGGTGGGGGGTGGCCAAGACGGGGGACACTCAGGGCAGTGGCCTTCCTGGTCCTGTACAGTCCCTGGGGATGATCGTGGGATAGGCTGAGCCACCTTGAAGAACACCCCCACCCCTGGGTGCAGAACATCTGTGTCGGCAGGGCCCATGGTGAGGTCTGATTGGCTGAGTGCTCCTGGGATGGCAGAACAGTCCTCCTCCAGCAGGGCCTGTACTGGGCGCTCCTCTCTGAAGCCACCCCCTGGAGCCCAACTCAACGCCCGGTCCTGCCCTGGGAGGGCGCCTGCCCAGCAGGCAGAGAGAAGGCTCTGAGGCAGCCCCAACCCAGGGCCAGCAGGGGCTGGAAGTCTGTCTGTGCTCTGCAAGTGTGCCCACCACAGTCTCTGGGTGCTGGAGCCCCTTAACCTCACCGAGAGCCAGAGCCACCAAGTGGTGCCATCACCACCAAATCACTACCACAGAGAGGCCATGTCATAGCATGGCTTTTCTGTGATTTCTCAAGGTGATGGCAGAGTCAGGGAGGGGCCCTGGGACTGGAGTGAGTCCTGCCAGGACACTGATCCACCTTGTGTGCTTGGACAGTGACCTCTCCTTTCTGGGCCTTTGTTTCCTCACCTGGAAGATGAGGGGCGGGCTAAAGGCTCTGCTGAGGCCCCACCCCCCAGGCTCTAGTTCTGCTGTTTGTTCGTCGCCAGCCCCTCCGGTGAGAAGACAGTGGGCACGAGGACCAAGGAAACTGGGAAGAAAAGGGGTGGTCACTGGAGGTCAAGGGCAGGAAACACAAATAGATGGAAATGTGCAGGACATTTAAAAATACTCACTTCTCAAATGTCCCACGGGGCAGCTGACATCAGCGACAGATGCTGTGAACGGATCCATGCAGGAACATATTTTATTGGTGTTAACATGGTACCTGTGTCGTGCCTGGAGTTTCACAGGGCGTGAGAGTGAGCAGGACATCTTCTCTCATGGTGTCTTCACTTCAGAAACTGCACCTGTGGAGAAAAATGAACGCTTTTGCAGTGCTGGGCATCCTTACACAGCAATTTGAGTTGTAAAGCAAAAATAATTGCTGATTTTACAATTCAGAAGGATGAGGGCAGCACGAGGGTGGAAGCTTCACACAGTTCCAGGAGAGCTGATTGCCTGGGGCTCCCAGAGGGAGGGGCTGGCGCGGTCCCAGGACTAGGTCAGCTGTATCTTAGAAGTGGCCCCTGGCCTCTGGGTCCTCGGGTGGCCAGGACTGTGGGCTCCTTGAGGCAGAGACTGACCTCTCCCAGCTCTCCTTCTCCACAGTACATTCGCCCAGCCCCATAAACCCAGTGGATTGGTTTATAGATGGACTCACTCTTGGCCCAGCTACTCTGGGGAGCCCACTCAACCTTATAGCAGCTTGAGAAAATACAGTAGGCACAGTATGTTGAGCTCTTACGAGCTGTGGGCAAGGACCCAAACTGGTTCACTCGTGTGAGCTTCACCGGCACCACACAACATGTGAGGTGTTGTTATGAGTCCTCCATCGCAGAAAAGGAAACTGAGGCAGGGGGGCTCTCAGTTACTACGTGGAAGAACCAAGATGCCAATACAGGTCCATCTGATGTTCCACATTTCCTACGGTGGGGTCACCTTCAAACCTTCCTTGAGCTTGCCTTCCAAACCTGGAGTTGGGGGCCTGGCTCTCCCCCTGGTTTCCCCGCTCCCAGCCTTCCAGCAGTGACACTGGGCTGGTTACTTGAGTTTCAGCATGGGTGTCTTTGTAGAAGAGGGCGTAGCTACCTCCCATGACTGGTGAGAATCCCATGTCAATAGCGCAGCATCTCATGACAATAAACGTAAAAAAGCTTTATAATTAATTTAAAAACAACGCAGGTGGGGAGGGTATAGCTCAGTGGTAGAGTGCATGCCTAGCATGCAGGAGGCCCTGGGTTCAGTCCTCATTAAAATACTCAGTACCTCCATTAAATAGATAAATAAACTTAAAACAACAACAACAACAATAATGCCGATGTATGGATTTTCCAAGAACCACAGGCTTCTCTCACCACATTTGATCTCTGAAGTGTCACACTCTTTCCTCATCTTCACCCCCTTTCTCTTTTGTATTTTATCTGTTTTTCCTGGAAGCCCTAACCCTTATCTCCAATCATATTCCAGGTCCTCGTCCCTCCTGCACCAAGCCGGGTCCCCTGCTAGCACCCTTCCAAGTCAAAACCCCGCATCCAGAGAGAAGCCTCAGGGCCCCCTTCCCTCCCTCACGGCCTCCCCCGCCACTCTCCTTGGGCCCCTGACACGGAGATCTTAATTCTGTCCTTTGATCTTTCATGGGAACCATCTGTCTAATTTTTCTCAAAAGCTACTCTGTAAACAACAGAGCAGGCCCCGTCTTTGTCCCTCCTCCTGTCTGCCAGGCGTATCTGGAACATCATAAAGTCAGGGAGGAAGTGCTGGGGGAAAGAGAAATCGAGAGGGGAACTACGTTTTTCTTTTGAGTCCACGTCACCAGTGGGATCCCTGTCAGTTTCCTTGATCAGACTTGAACCCTCACTGAGGTGACTGGAAAAATCTGAGGGTAGATCTGAGAGGAGGTTGGATAAAGTCTTGATTTTCTTTAGCCTCCCCATTATTATTATCATTATTTAAAAATGTTACTTATAGGCTGTTTTCTTAACAGCAACATAATTGAATAATTCGACAAATTCAGCATTTTTACCCCCCAAACTCATTTGTGAGGTTTGATGTTGGTTTTCTCTTCCTCCTGGGTTGGCAGGCAGGGAAGCTGCCTTCAGGCTCCTGGAGGGTCCTGGTGGCAGCTGATGGACGCAGGGCCTTGGGCATGGCCTCAGGTACATTCTGTTCCATTTCTAGAAGGCCATGGCCTTTCTGCAGAAAATCTGGAAGGTACAATGTGCCCTGGCTGATTTGGTCTTGTATTTCTCTCCTTTCTCAGGTCTACCCACGAGCAAGTCACCTCCTGGGAACGCCCTGCATTTGAAAGATTCCAGTGAGACCACCTTCTTCAGACACGATTTTAACCACACAGGATCCGGGCAACAAGTCCACTTCCTAACAGGCCCTGGGGAACTGACCTTAGATCTCCAGTGTCCTCTGATGGGGGATGGCCGGCAAGGCGCTGGCTGCACCCCCAGCCTGCTCAGGGCTCCCCACCAGCCTTCTCGATGCTGTGCTTTTGCTGAGAGGGCCTTCTTGTTCTGCTGACCACCTGCCTGGGCCCGCCCCCCTGTCCTCTCCTCACAGAGACAGGGAGGACCTCGCAGGGGCCATCCAGCTTAAGACTGTGAAGTCTGCCAAGCCATTGCCTGCCTGGGGGAGTGACGTTCCCTGGGGCCTGAGTTTAGGGACCCCACCTAACCTCCCAAACCTCCATCAGTGACCAAATGCCCAGGATCCCCTGCCCACAAGCCACATGGGGGTGTCCTGCTGGCTAGACTTGGGGTCATTACCCTCACATCCCTGCAGCTGCCACAAATGGGGACATATTGGGTCAGGATGAAGATTCTGCAAGTTTTGTCACCTCAGCTCTCTCTTGTCTTATCTCAAAATTTACATCTTCTGCTAACACTGATTTCTTTCTCCTTCTATTATCCTGAACGTTCACTGATCTTGCCCTCTTTAACATGTAGCTACTCTCCAGCCCAGATTTATAACCTTATACCTTCAGAAATTATTTCTTATTTCTCTTTTTTATTTTCTGTCCTTAGCTTTTGTTGAAGGCAGGGCCACGTCTTCTGTGCCTCCCGCAGGGAGTGCTGAGAACACGCAATAGAAGCGGTCTGCAATCTATCAGCTGTTTTTCCGTCTGGGGAAAACGGGCCCCAGATAGGTGCTGACTCTTCTGGCTGAGCTGTAGCTGACTTTCTGGGGTGAGTCTCCAGGACAAATACACATCCTTAGGCACAAGCCACCAAAGATA